CAGGAAGGCTAGGAACAAAACAAGAGGATAACACCAAAGATATATCAGGATTGAGCATTGTCGGATTGATAAGAAAGGCGAAGCAGAGTGATAATTGGACATTCCTTTGCAGAAGTACCGCGGCCGACCGGCTAAACCCTTGCATAGAAGATTAGTTTTATTTCTATAAAAAATGATTTCCATGTGCAAATGTTCTCGCGAATACACACAAACACACACGCACGCACAACCAAACCCCATACATATACATTTAGATACAGCCTCTCATTACCTGAAGCATTGTTTCAACTGCTCCTGGACTAGTGACGCTTTTGAGGATAATTACCTTAAAGTCCACCACAAGGAATTGCCACTGTTTATACATGAAATGCATGACGACCTGCCCTGCTGGAATGATGCAGATAAACTGCAGATTCGAGGAATGGCATGTTGTTGTTTCATAGAAAAAAAACATGTTTATCCTACAGTGAGGGCCGCACTATCTCCAAGTATTTTTGGATATATTTCGTATTATTTTCCTGGCTACGGTATTTCAGGCTTGAGGTAGTGCGCGTCTGTCCGTGATCGCGTGCAGACGCTTCCTCGCCTGATACGACTTGTGCCTGCCGGAGGAGCCAGGACCCGTTTCAAACTGTGAGTTTGTCTGGTGCTTTCTTGGTGAACCCACTGAGAATTGTTAAATCCATGTGTGGGACTGGCATGGTAAATATAAACTGTTTTCTATGGAAGAATATAATATCTTTTTAGAAGAACGGAGAAAATCATAATATGTTTTGGCAAAGTGGAATATGCTGAAAATTCCGCATGGCTGTGGAAGATATAAGGTACAATGCCCGCTGATAGATATAGTTTGATCTTATCTTCGCGTTATATCTATTCATTCTGGTATTTCACAATAACCGACAAGTTGTTCAGTCCTGTTTGCAAAGCAGTCAATACTAGCAAGAATAGAAGCAGTCAACTGAAAAATGACTTAACATATTGCAACAGCAACTTGGTATGCATAAAATTGATCGATACTGTAATTTAATGAGATCTTAATCTTACAACATAGTAGCTGACACTCAGCCTCAAATCTGTCGCAATGCCCAGGTGTGCGTCGAGGCAGCGGAGCGTGGGAATCATGGCCAGGGTAAGGAAGGGGCTGCTTCTGCTGCTGACTCAGGTGGTGCTCGGCGCGCAGAATTTCCCCACCGTTAGTCACCGCGGGTAAGATATTTGTCCACTCACACAGTGCACCTCACCTTCACAAAGAAGCACAAGGGTTGCTTTCAGCTTTGGTTTCTTTCCTCTTCATACAAAGGAATATTAACCTCACTTTCGGTCAGTGTGCGGCAATAGTGCTCGGCCGGGCTGAGAACGCTGTGTGCCTTGCAGGTGGCGAGTGCTGGAGGTGAGCGTCGCGGCGGGCGCGGGGGTCGGTGATCGCGACCGGAGGTTCCTCAGGAGCCTGGAGGGCCGCCGGGGGATCGACTTCCTGCGGCAAGACGGCGCGAGAGGTCTGGTGCTTTGCTCAGTACTGAATTGATAGCATAATCATAAAAGATCTTTGTGATTTTTCAGCTGAATGAAAACGTTTGTGCATGAGACATAGCAGATTAGTCTAAGCTGTCGCATCTGTGAACCCCTCACCACATTGGCCTATGTGGCAACTCACAAGGAAAGAGTTCAAATGTGTTTAGCTTTCCGCTTTGTTAACGTTACATCCATCTACGGTCGAAAATAAACATTTTACACGCGTACACACACATACATTCACAAAGAGAAACACAAACACACATGTGTGTGTGTGTATGTATGCGCGCACGCACTTTACTTAGAAATACATATCTTGTGCGCGCGCGCGCACACACACACACACACACAAATGTGTGTGTGTTTGTGTACTGTATATGTATATTGCAGTAAAGTACAAAAGTCAACCATCAATCAGCATATGTATATTAAAGTAAAGTACAAAAGTAGGCCATTAATCTATTTTTATTGGTATTTCATAACACATACACCATACCAAGAAAAAGAGATTAAGGACCTACTTTCGTACTTTACTTTAATATATATATATGTGTGCATGTGTGTTTAAGTATACATATACACCTCATCATCATCAGCAGCAGGCGGTGGGATCGTTAGGCCGACCCGCCATGGCGTCTCTGCAGAACGCCTTCCAGCCCTCTCTATTGTGTGCGTCTCGCTACTCCAGCAATGCTCAGCCTAGTGATTTCCTCTAATGTTCTGATACCTTTTGGTCTTGTTTCCGCTTACTAAATACCATCGAGCCCTAGACCCTTACTCCGGGCAACATGCCCAACAGTAGGAATTTCCCGATTATCGATGTCGTGTAGAAGAGCTTCGTTTGTTATCCATGCATTGACACGCTTCTCTCAGTCTTATTCCGTTTTTATAAAATGGGAGCGAGCCGCCCTGGACAAGCTCGAGGCCTCCTTGAGCGCCGGCGCCGAGCTGCTGACAGAGGAAAGGCTGGCCATCCTGGATATCC